GTAACTTTTTAAAATTTCATTTTGTAATTAGCCTTGAAATATTGATAATCAATTCTTATTCTTCTTCACAGATTTTAAATCGGCTACAAGAAGTTATATTTTGCAAATACGGCTGACAAACTTCATTGACACATACCATTTCATATAATACTATCATTCTTGTATCACAGAAGTTTGGTTGGGATATATACTAACAAATACAACCTATCTGAGCCCTCGCCAAAAGTCTGTAAACGATAAGACATTATGTTTGCAATCTCCCTGCCGAGGGCTCTGATTGGCGCACAATTCAATCAAATAGCATTCTGTGATACACGTTTAGTTATATATACTATTTTAGTTATTCATACTGACAATCAGTTATATAAACATGTCCTAGCATTTTTACATGCAAACCAACAAACATTCATTCATACAGTATCTGTATTTTTTTGTTACATGTTTTGTGCAAAATACAAATTTTGCCAGCTATACATACCAGTAAGGTAATGAACATCACGTAAAACAGCTCTTTCATTACGAAAATCAACAGCTTTATTATTGATACTAGTTAAATCCATGTGCTGTACTCTACATCTCTCACCGTCACTAATACATTTTCTTACTCTTCAATAAAAAGTTGTTAATTAAAGTCAAATTTCAATCTAGGCTACATCAAAGAAGTCTGCAATCATGATCGATTTTATTTTGGTAGCGTTACTTACTAAAATGTACCAGGCATTTGAAATTGTCGACGTTAGAAACCACAAAATAACTAAATCACACAGTACTACCATAAGAAACTCGTTTGAGATAGAAATAGCAGAGACGAATTTGGTAACAAGAGTTTACTCAAGCCGAAAGTGGAGTTTTTAGAATGGTCATCATTATTTCAATCAAGCCTGCAGATCACTTGTTGGTGTAATGTTGCCTAACTTGATTTTTTACAGACACAAAAATGAAATGAAATGAATGGAGTTTTACGTCCATGGCGATGCAGTGTACAATGCGGGAAATTTAGCCCGGAAATCGGCATAAGCCTACTCTTTTTCTATTTCCAACTGTCGAGGGATCTTTAACGTGCACAGCCTGTAACACACGGTGCCTCGGTTTATTGTTCAATCACTAGACGCCTTTTCCATATCAGCGTCAGCCCCTCCGATCTAAAAAGATGAAACCGGGTTGAAAAATCCGAAGGTATTATCTCGACCTTTGCTGGGATTGAACCTGGGACCTTCAGGTTAGTGGGCTAACGTTGAGCCACCGCGGCTACTACAGACAAATAGCAGGGGATATGACATAATGTACACTTTATTGAAAAATCGTCCGATCCAATTCTAACATGGATGCACAGAGCTTCAGAGAAGTGTGCCTGCCACAGAGTCAGTTTTCTGTAATAAGAATTCACTTAAAGTTTTAAATTTACCTTTCATTCAGAGCAGCAGCCACCTACAATAAACAACCAATCTAGTAAATATATGTTTATAATGAATGTTAAAGTGTGGCATAAACACTAAACTAATAAGAGATTTTGTTATGCCCACATGTCAGAAATCGAAACGAAAATTGAATGTAGAGAAGGATTTCGGAAAAGGAAGGGTTTGACTTCTCACAAATGTAAAGCCCAATAGTGTTATAGATACTTCTTCGTTTACAAATTACAAGAAGAGCTATCTATACTGGCTGGTCTTTATCTGATTATCTTTATTACATCTTTCGAGGCTCGCAAGTTACGTTGTCTCCTTTAATTGTTTTAGTCATGATTACATGTAAATAATCCGGAAGCTGACAGATCAGTTCATTCACAATTCCAGTCGACCCATGCAGCTGTAAATGGGCGTGGATAATCCGGGAAAGACCAATGTCAAGAGGTTTGTCCAAGGACCAGCTGGTAGAAAGGATCATTAACTGTGAACCTAAGTTGTTATCCATGTGAAATAATGTTCTTTCTTTCTTTTTAATTTCTTCTTCCTTGGCTCACTCTTCCTATTAACTCCAGTACATACTTTTTCTCTACTCCCCTGTCCATCTCTCTTTTTAATTTTACCTATTCCGTTCAACTAATCGCGTGTTTCAACTTTCCTCTCCATTTCCCCTCTATTATCCTGCTTTAATGCTCTCTGTTTTCCCCGGTATCGTTTTCATTCTTCATATATGATATGTTTTCCATGTTTACATTCTCTCTTTTTTTCTTCATTTCGCCTTCAGCATTCATTTTAAGCAGTATAAAAATAACTACTTTTTTACGATCAAAAATTTATTTATCACGAGGACTGCGAATCAAATTGTCTATTTTTCGTTAGAATTTTTGGTAATGTCCCCGTCACGTACTGCGCTTCTACTGCTATGGAAAATTGGCTCAGTGCTTTTTGCTTTCGCCATAAGCTTGATATAAGCGTAAAAGACAAGCCAGACATCGTGCAATGTTTTCGCCACTATTCGCCGAGTCACGGAGTACGCTTTTGGACATGTTGGTATATATAAGCACATTTGGTAGCCTAAACCCGTAGCAGACGCTGCAAAAACATTAGAACGCAAAATGATCGCCAGGATCATTTGCTTAAAATCTTTGTTATTAACTGAATCTATAGTTGTATATTTCAATTGTAAGCCCTAGACTATATCCTCGTCGTAGACAGGAGAAAACTGGGCGTCAGAGACTACATCTGAATTCGAGGCCAACAAAAGAAAATAAACTTCATACTCATGACTGCATTTTAATGGAGCTCAAAATCCAATGGCTAATTCCAAATAGCTTGTTTGTAATTTCTAATTTCGATTTATAAATTTTTATTTCTTCATTGTAGGCCAAACCAAACTTTCGTTTAATAGTGGTTCGAGATATCTTTAATAGTGGTTCGAGATATCTTTAATAGTGGTCAGAGATATCTTTAATAGTGGTTCGAGATATCTTTAATAGTGGTCAGAGATATCTTTAATAGTGGTTCGAGATATCTTTAATAGTGGTCAGAGATATCTTTAATAGTGGTTCGAGATATCTTTAATAGGGTACCCGATCCAGGAACATCTAACAGGTGAACATTCGAATGTAATATATTTAATTTCATGCAAGAAATGCCCGAAACAATATGTAGGAGAAACCAAGAATAATTTACGAATTCGCTTTAATGCTCATAGGTCAGACATCAAATTAAAGAAAGACAAGCCTGTTTCTAATCATTTCAACCTCGACGACCATTCAATAGACGATCTCACCCTAATCACAATTGAGCGTATAGAAATTGACATGCCCGAAGATGAAACTACCAAATTCCGTCAATCTAGGGAGGCCCATTGGATTGAGACATTGAATACAGCAAGACCTATAGGACTAAATATTCATCATAATGTAGGCATAGCACCCTTTGTTGTCCCGTTTAATACAACCAGCAATCGAGCAAGCAAGATAGTTCATGCCCACTATAAGAGCCTTCAAGAGAAATTCCCCCATGTCTATAAGCAGAAAAAATAGTTGCATATTCAAAAAATAAGAACTTAAATGATAATATTGTTCATAGTAAACTAAAAACAATCAGTACATAACAGATACTATACTTCTCGCCCATTGGGCGAGTTATTTTTTCTAATTTCAGATCAGAATAAGAACAGAAGAAAACCCAATATCAAGACCCTTAATCCTAATTTCTAAATAAAGTGTCTGCTCCACCCTAGGCCTGTACATTTGGGAGAATCAAACCCTCCCTTCCCCGAAATTTAATAGTGGTTCGAGATATCTTTAATAGTGGTTCGAGATATCTTTAATAGTGGTTCGAGATATCTTTAATAGGGGTCAGAGATATCTGTAATAGTGGTCTGAGTAGTCTTTATTTTTAATATTTTATGAATTAAGCATTAGAAACTACATAAAATGTATTAGGGATTAAGACGACTGGTTTTTAAGTTGATTGATATCAAAGCTGTTGGTGTATGGTATTGTTTATTGTTTAGCGAAATGATTGTGTTTTACAACAAATCTCTACTCACCTCTAAAAACCCAGAAGTGTCCTTCTTTAAGTTCTCTTTAGTAAATACTTCCAAACTTTCAGACGAATTGAGTATTTTTTCCATTTCTTTCAAACTTTCCTCCTTGTCATTCAATCTCATTCTCTCGTCGTATTCCAGATCAGCCAAGAAAAATGCTCGTTTATTTTCAACTTCAGCCAGTAACGTATCGCATTCCTTATTTATCTGAGCCCTTTTTCTTATCATAGTTTGCTGGAAAATGAAAATTCTATAAAAATGAAAAATATCTTTACGATAAAGCACAATCTCACATATCCTTAAAAAAAATAAAGTGTAAATGTAAAACCAACAATATATTTTATTTCAGGATGTTTTGTTATGAAACAACTTTAAGTATTGATTGTGAATAAGAAATTCTGACCTGCAAATCTTTGATGTAGTCTTTCTCTATTTTACTGTTTGTCTTAAGATGACATTGACAGTCTTCTAATCTTTTCATATTCAACTGTAATCTTTGCTGAAATCAGACATAAAACACCATCAAAGAGACCAGCTCATAACAAAATAGATTCCGATACCAAATTAAAGCTTGAATTGTTCTCACAACCCGGCCACATCCACATATGTTAAACATTTCAAATTCAGGTAGATAGGGCCATAAGAGTCAGTGTCCTTAATATGTCTGTCTTAAGGTGCGAATGCCTTAAGACCGGTGCGGTGTAGGTGTGGGATTATTGATACAATTAAAGCAAATCGTGCCCATACCGTGTTCCGACCTGTAGCTTGTAACTCATTATCCTCGCATCGTACACCTTACCACGTCTATGCACGGCGCCGCCATTGGGAAAATGACACTGAATGGGGGTGAAGCACTTTGTCAAAAACAACTCATTGTTGGTACAGTCCGAATGTCTAATAAATAAACAGCTGATTATTCTGTGACACAGAACTTTTAAATATTAAGTAACTTTCCCATAGGGACTTATTAATTCAATAAAGCCTACTAAAGAATCAAAGGTTTAGAATACAACGACAATGGGTGTCAGACAAAACTATTATTATACAGTATTTCTACCAGAAGCACAGACACAATTCCTTACCTTAAGAACTGTGCATGCTTCTAACAGAGAGGCAATATTGTGATCTTTATGGTTGTCGTTCTCTTCACAAGCCAAACAAAATAATCTTCGACACGTCATACAATATAAACTTAACTGTTCGCCATGTTCTGGACACAGTGTCTCCGGCTCCAAATCGTTCTTAGGTTCTATTATTTTGTGAGTATTAAACGGCGTCTTGTTTGGGTGAGATTCCCGGAAACATGGGATACAAAACAATAAATTACAATCCAAACATGATTTCTTGGCGCGACGAGGTGGTTTATCACAAAGTTGACAAAAATAATTGTCTTCTGTTTCAATACTTGCATCACAAGTGGCTATAACTTCACGTTCTCTTTCTGCACGTACTTTCTCGATTATGTTTTCAAGGGCAATAACTCTAGGTAAACTGTTGATACCACCGCTCACATAACAGCTATCCCGACACACGGGACATCGAATAAAATTATAATCGAATATATTATCAGCGCATGGCCGCCGGCATAAAACGTGGGAACATGGTAATATTATAGGATGTTGAAATAGGTCTAAACAAACGGGACACTTGAGTTCCTCGTCCACGTCCATATTACTAGTAGTCATTGCTGAGACCTGAAATGATATTCAAATTTGTAGAAAAATTGGACGTGTACAACCTGATGGACACCAGCGAATTCCGACAGCTGAATAATCTCTGTCGTACATACAGACGGATTTTGACTTGTAGGTCTACCTGAACAATTAATTGATTTGTTAGAAGGTAACTGAGGTAGTTTGAAATTTACATAAAACCCGGTTTTGTCATTCTTTACTGCTCATGTGATTATATCGGTGTTTGTGAAACGGACTGATGGATTGCAATTGGGATAGGTTCATGATGTCTCTTGGTGATTTGGTCTTCATTCACGGGCAATTGAAAAAAAGGTCTAGACGAGAATAATCGGATTAGAGTTACATAACAAAGTTATAGGACTACACTTATAAGCAGACTTTGAGTGGCTGTAACTTTGGAACCTATTGAGATATAGCATCCTGGTTTTTGTGCCATGTAGAACCAGACATTGTCTGATGGTTTATATTTTTTGTTGGTTTAAATTGCACATGAGACTAACGCCTATTTCAATTATGGAAAAACATACATATCACTGAAATCGGGCTATATAAGCTTTAAAATAGAGTTATTATTATTTATTAATAAGCGTAGCAAGTACTTGCTATTGCCGAAGAAATGTAAACAATATACAATAAAACTAATCAACATTAACACACAATAATAAGTAAAATAAATATATCAATTTTCCAATGAATATGCGCTTGTAACACATAGTAAATAAATTAAGGAAAACAATCAAAATATGTAAGTATATATATAATATGTTAGCCCAAATGGCAACCATTAAATTCATAAATATCAAGATTTTACAGATCTAATATAAATCTGATTTCGTAACTTATAAGCCTGAAATATATAATTGCCTAAATTTTTTAAATTTCGAAATGACCTTGGATTTAACAACATATTCATTTTACGTAAGGACGGGAATGACCAGAAATATCGGGGAAAGTATAGACGGCGTAGAGAAGTATACATTGGACAACAAAGAAGAAAGTGGTATTCATCTTCAATATATATTGATTTACAACATAAACAAAATCGTTTTTCTCTTGGAGTTTTATTATACCGACCGATTTCGACTTGGAGTTTAAGATTACAAACTCTAAACTTACAAATTAAAAACTTAAATTTGTCGTCTAAACTGGAATCAAGATATTCTTCAAAGTTAAAGGAGGTTTTAAAATTTTTATAAAATCTAAGTTTACTTGAAGCTTCGAGGTTAGACGACCAGGTCTGGTAATACTGATCTACAATTTGTGTAGAATTAAAAAGTTGGGGCTGTGAAAATATATAAGTAAAACCTAATTCGTCAAACATTTTTCTAATGTAAGAAACCCAGTTGAGTTTACCTTTAGCATCATCCTGATGTAAAAGGTCATGAGTAATAAGAAGAATAAATCACAAAGATTTTAATAATCGTCAATATTACCAAAACCAAAAACTCAAGTTCATACCTAATGGGATTTCTCCGTATAATATCAACAGTTCTAAATGTGACAGAGAAGGCCTCTTCACCTTGATATTACACTGTCCGATATACTTAACATACCACAGCTCGTATTGCACACAAGGTCAGATGACCACTGACTGCAAACTGGAAGCTTGGCTTATTCTAACAGTTTCTCAGCATTGCTGGTCTGTATTATTGTGTATACTCGTGGTTTAACTAGTTTAACTAATGTTTATTGAATAAACTGTAACATCATAAACATCTAGAGATTCCATATGATCAAAACATATTGAGATGGAATTTCGCGAATTTACATCCAATTATTCACTTACCAAAGTTTTTAAAGCCGACAATTCAAACATTTTATACTATCATAATCAACACTGTAGCAATTTTATGCGTTAATAATTCAAAATAACAAAATGTATCAAATGACCTATGTGAACCTTAGAATTATATCTATCTAAGTTGTCAGTATACATGTATTAGTCATTAGAATAGTCGTTGAGCCATTCCAAAACAATTGATTTGGTCCACGGATCATCTTCATGTATTATTAAAGAACCAACTGCCATTAACAGCAATGAAACTATCACTCCGATTTACGGATTCGTTATGCACTTGTATGAGGAGAGGTTTGCCAAATTTTCATGAATACCAACTTTTATAATTCTGTTTTAACATAAATGTATGAATCAACAGAAATGCATGTCGGCTATTATGTGCTATAATTCTGTAAATGCATATCCAACTCCAGCTAATCACAGCAGCTAGATTTTTATCTTCAAGCACACACTATATCTATTTTTACATTCGGGTTATTCTGTCACATAGATTATGGTTTCGGTTCCTCAGACATTCCCTAGTAGAGGTGTAAGTGTACAATTGTATATTTTGTCTCGTTTTCGACAATCTTTCACAGATATACTCAAAACACACTGCAGTCTCCTTTATTGAAAACATTTTTGTGGCTTCAGTATGGAAAATCACTTATATAACTAATGATATTGATTATATTCACAGAATGAATTGCCAAGCGTCAATGTTTCATTGAAATCGTAAATCTTTATATTAATCAGTTAAGATCTTTGTTTTTCTTTTCTTCACACATTTTCTTCAGTTCTCGTGCAGTTGCTAAATCAATCTGTAGTCATTGCCTAGTAACTAGAATTTCTATAACAAGACAAATATACTAACGAAGGGGCATTGCGAAATCCAATAGTTATATTCATGGAATTCTTCGACTATCCACACAATATATCTATGTATGTATGTCAGCATCAAAATAAAATAATAGTCTCAATATAATCCTTACTAAAACGAATTTGAATAACGGAGACATTTGCTTTGTTCCCCCCCGTGGAACATCATAATGTACCTTTACTTACAGAAATGGTCAATATGAACGATGAATTGGTCATACCTTATTAATAAGAGATAACAAGAGGAAAGCTGGTTTAGGAACTGGAGTTAACTTTTCATAATAACGACTTTAAATAAAATGTCTCTTACCGATTTGTTGACTAGAATCACAGAATTATCCAACGCTAGCCTAATAAAACATAACCTGTAGAAATTCAAACATTCATAATATCAATAAAGGGAATAATGTGATGTATATTAGCGAACTGTTTGAACAACATAATCTATAAACCTATACTTCAATAAACACTGGCATGGTTTAAAGGTACAACTTGGTATAGTTTCTCATAAAAGAATGTCCTATTAAATATGCTGACCTAGCAATTTGTGCTTCAGGACTGAATCAGATTTCAAAACATACTATTTATTAAGCATCTAAGATGTCGAATTTATATCCGATCCATAGAATCTGAATTATCGTCATGTTAAAATTAGACTCCTTTGTATTGTATTAGTTTTGATTGAAGGCGAATACTTAAACAGTAAATACCAAGCAAAAATTAATGTTTATAAGTGTACATGCCAAAAATAAGTAAAATTCTTTTATTTTATTTTTTTGTCAATTTTAATGTATAATCTTATAGCTAGTTATAACAGAGTCAATTATAGCAACACTTAGAGCTTCTATTTGCAACATTCTCGGTTTCAATAGAATCTTATAAAATTTCTCAAATTCCAGAAAACTTAACTGAGTTTGACATTTTGTTACGTAAAGGCTACAAGTATTTCCAGTGTGCTTATTTTAACAGAATATATGTAGCCTTTACAAATATGCTTATTGTAAATAAAATTAAATTGAACACTAGATAAAGAAGAATGGCGCCTGGTTATATCATAAATGGTGAGTTTAGTAAACTACTGAAACGATATATAAAGATATGAATTTGAATCGATTTTCTATATCATTCAATTTAAATTCAGTTTATCCTTGCCACTAAAGATAGGTAACGCCGAAAAGAAAACAAAATAAAATTGTCTTACCAAAAATATTGATTACTACTAACCAAATATACCAATACGCGAGAGAAAACGATTATATTATCCTCACGAATGTTGATTTAACAAGCAGAAACATGACTTGTAGAGTGTCAAGTGAAATGAACTATAGTTATATGAAATCGTAAATATTAGATCAACAAAACATTGAATAGCATGATAGACAGCCCTTTATCATTCAGGCTTTAACATACTTAAGCTTTACCGAGATAATCTGTGCAAATCTTTATCATATAGATAGACTTTATTAGGAAATATACATTAAGCGTGAATAATACGTTTATACAAGAGATTAAAGGGAGTGGTCCACTGTAGTGTTGTGGGGATTGACTCTACTGAATAAAAAGCTACTGCATATTTAAAGTGGTTCAAATTTCAAAGCCTAATTTTTCAAAAGGGACAGTAAATATTTCAAGGATCGTTCAAATAGCTTATTTCCTCAATTTCGGATATCGTGAGAATTTTCAGAATCAGATCCAATCTCCGATTCTTCTAAACTTCAACAGAACGTGACGTGCCTTGTTAGACAGTTACTGCAAATATGATCAGTGATAAAACAATTTACGAGAAATTGTCAGCAAGGACCGAGTAGCGACGAATAACTAACAGATAGCTTGCCAGGCAAGATAATATACGCCCACTGGCAGCTTTGAATTTGAAATAAGAAAATTTGGCTGTACGCGTTTTTAAGAACAAGGGTTCATCCTTTGGTGAAAATAAACATTCCCCTACTGCAAGTCCTATAACATCTCCTACCACCAGTTTAACATCTTCCTCTACTGCAAGTCCTACAACATCGGCTACTACCAGTTTAACAACACCCCCTCCCCCCCTTACTACCAGTCCTACAACATCGGCTACTACCAGTTTAACAACCTCCCCTACTGCCAGTCCTACAACATCGGCTACTACCAGTTTAACAACCTCCCTTACTGCCAATCCTACAACATCGGCTACTACCAGTTTAACAACCTCCTCTACTACCAGTCCTACAACATCGGCTACTACCAGTTTAACAACCTCCCCTACTACCAGTCCTACAACATCGGCTACTACCAGTTTAACAACCTCCCCTACTACCAGTCCTACAACATCGGCTACTACCAGTCCTACAACATCGGCTACTACCAGTTTAACAACCTCCCCTACTGCAAGTCCTACAACATCGGCTACTACCAGTTTAACAACCTCCCCTACTACCAGTCCTACAACATCGGCTACTACCAGTTCAACAACCTCCCCTACTACCAATCCTACAACATCGGCTACTACCAGTTTAACAACCTCCTCTACTGCAAGTCCTACACATCGGCTACTGCCAGTTTAACACCCCCACCCCCTACTACCCCACCCCCCTACTACCAGTCCTACAACATCGGCTACTACCAGTTTCACAACCCCCCCTACTTCAAGTCCTACAACATCTGGTACTACCAGTTTAACAACCCCCACTACTGCAAGTCCTACAACATCGGCTTCTACCAGTTTAACAACCTCCCCTACTGGAAGTCCTACACCACAACACCCTACTACCAGTCCTACAACATCGGCTACTACCAGTCCAATCACTTCTCCTACTACCAGTCTTACAACATCTCGTACCAGTCCAACCACTTCTACCCCCCCCCCCCCCCCC